AATAAACGCGACCTACCATGACGAGGTATTGATAGTTACGGTGCAGAAGCTGCCGCCTCTCGAGCCGAAGCCACCAAAGCTCCTCTGCCCTAGCATGCATCTCCCCCATCGTGCGTGCAATCAACTATGCGATCCTCTGCCCAATCCATTTTCCGGCCCTAGCTTTTGTTGGATCCGCGAAAGGAATGGATCAAAACTGCTCTGATACCATGTTTGTAAATGAGAAGAAGAAAAAAAGAAGAGAAAATGAAAATTGGCTAGGATTCCAAAATCGTCACTAACACCTCATTACAAGAGTATATATACAATAAGTAGAAAGACAAAACTATCCTTAAGTAGGGTTAAATAATAGAAATACAATAATAATATCTAACACATATTAATGCTGTAGTGATGTTGCTAATACCTACAATTCTTCAAAAGTACGGTTAAATTAATAAGGTTATTCTGCTATCATATTTAAGATTTTTAAACTGAATTTAGTCACAATTTATGTGTTTTTTTTTTGCTCTTCAACATCGAATATGAGATGGTGACAATATTTGAGAAGTTTTAGATGTTAGGATTTTTTTTTTTATATAATGAAACGAAGTTACTTGGTATAGGAATGTGGTGCAAGGATGTATATGCATGCCATTAAAACTATTGATTGTTGTGCTATAACTTTGTTATATTATAGTCCATCCTTAGAAACAGGAAGCCATTATTGGATAAGATTGGCAATCAATATTATGGAAAAGAAAAACTTTGAATGCTGATGATTTTGTCTAGGTTTTTTTTTTATTAATTTGGTGTGAGATTAAATTGTTAAGTAAATGAATAACATGTGCAAGGATGTAGATCTTTATTTTAAAAATCCTTGTTGCAATGCAGTAATTTTGATTGTTTGTTTAGTAATAATTGTTACTTAGCCTATTTGTTCCTCATCTTTTTTGTTGAATGATTTATTGTGTGCTTTGTGGACAATGCAAGAAAGTGAAGCTATCCTTTTTGGAATTACATAGAATTTGTCGTGAGCCTTTAGCATTCATAAAACCGTCGTAAAAAAAGCGGTTTGCGGGAAAATATTCCAATTTTTCGCGCCTATCTCCCACGTTTTTCCCGCGAAATCGATTTCACACTCCCAACGTTTCATTTTTTGCCTCCTTCCTCCCCGTTCGTCTAGCCCTGCACCGAATCCTCTGGTCTTTCCCTTCCTATAAGCGACCTTTAGATCCAACAAAGAAGACAACATAAGTTTGTGGGATACAAAGGCATCCGATCCTCTCTGTGCCGGAAGCCATTACCGCGTTCGATTCCCCTACCTGGCAAAGTGCTACATTGAAGTCGTCTTTTCCTCCTCTTCAGACCTCTGTGCCTCTCTCGCTGACTTTGCTCTGACCTTGTCTCCACATAGAAGCCGCACGATCTTGACCTCACCCTCGCCGGTGCATGCGATCTCCAAGCCGTTTCGCGTCGCCCTTGCCCTTTGCTGCTCCCGTCGCCGGTCCCCGTTGTCGGTCTACATTGCAAGATTGAAACCGGTAAGCCATATTATTACAAAGTTTAGGTGTTAGATACTTAAATACATTAAGAATTGTGTGGTATGTATGTAAAAAAATCCTTGATAGTTAACAGTTAACACTGGCTTTGACAGAACTACAATGCCAACATAAGTTTAATGCATCCGATCTTTCAATTGATTGTCATTTCCTTAAATAACAACTTACCTGAAAGTGTGGGTATCTTTCAACTCCAACTTTAATAAATATGGGCATTGTTACATACATACCATCCAATTTTTATGTATTTGCATATCTAACAAAACCTTAATTTCTTAATGGTAATATTCAGAATGATAAAAAATGTCCAGTGCATAACTTTCATTAAAGTTGCCATCTAGTGCATAGGTTTGCTCTCCATTGTTTCTCACTAGATCATGTAAGTAGGGAAAGACATCTACTCCCTGGAAATTTTTTGCTTCAATTGCCAAATCATTCATGATATCATAAGTTCCCATGATACTCGTTTCAATTTGGTTGGGAGAACTTGCACCAATGAAGGTTTCCATCTGAATACATGGTTAATTAGAACATTATATGATTTTTTTTTTTGATAAAGCATTAACTAATACTACATATATATACTTACTCATTTATTGCTTGGGAAAATAATTTTAGCTCTTCAATGGAGTCATGGCATTGAAGCATATTTTTGAGCATGCTTTCGATGCAATTCCATTTTGTGTAAGTAATCCTAGCAATTGAATACTTGGGCTCATATATAGTTGTACATATTGATTAGTGGATCTTCTTTGGCTTTAGTTGGGTGATAAGAGGATCATCAAAGCCATAAGAATTCCACCATCTAGAATTTATAAATTAAATTTAGAAATTTTAATCAAACTTTGCCTTAAATATTTGTAGATATTGCTCAAAATCAACTCATAAAAGCATTGAATTAGCTTTTCTTATGTGCATGGCATGCAACTTGTTGTGCTTCAACTTGGCAAGTTCCAAGTATTTTGGATTATCAATATTATAAATCCTAATCATAAACATTCAAAGGAAATTATATTATGCTAATGTAATTAATAGTTATTTAAATACTAATTTCTTTACCTATAGATAGTGTGTGAATCAATAATCAAAGCCACTTCTTATTAAAATTGTCAAAAAAAAATTAAAATATTGAATTGAAATAACCTCCTTATGTAGGGCTTTCTTTATAGCCCACTTGTCAAATGCTTGATGGCCTTTCATCTTTGTGCTTGATCGTCTTTAATGTTCATCAAATGTTGCTTGGCTAACTTTTTGGCATGTTTCAGTATTTTCTCCCCCGGAAATGCAATTTAGGAGAAGCAATTAAGTTGAAGAAATCTGAAATTCGTCTTTGTGTCTCGCCTATCAAGCATACGAAATTGCCTTCAGCATCCTTGAAGTACTTGAAGTACTAAGTATTTCTGTATATATTCAAGAATTGTTGGAATTTATATATATATATAATACCCTTCTAGGGTCTCGCCCGATGGCGAAACCCTGTGCTAACTCCTGTGGCTTCGTACGCGTCGTGCTCGACGATGAACGGTTCCCGCATCTGACTTCTCCTGTTTCGTCTTCCGCTAGTTTCTTCGTGCTCGCTCACTGTCTTCTTCCTCGTGTCGTTGTTTCTCGCAGCATTTTCTCGCTGTTACGAGGTTGTTCGCGTCTTTCTCGCCGCATCTACGTTCGCCCTTCGTCGTCCTGACGCCTCGCTTGAGCTTCCTTGCACAGTGCCGCGACTTCCTCCGCTCCACGTTTGATCCCTGCTTTGCGGATCGAGCAGTGAAGGAGTTGACCCACTGTTCGACTCTGAGCTTTATGGCTATTGCTCCTTCTCAAACACCGACTTCAGTTTTAAACCTTGGGAAGACTGCTTTTGTTGATATAGTCGGCTCTATGGGATCAGATCAGGCTTTCTCTCATATTTATCTTGAATCATTCGAAGGTCAGAAGGGCTGCAATCTTATCAAGAAGCCAGGTATGGTAAACTGGCTATATTCTTCTCTGATGCTGAAGTTTCCAACCTGGTTAACAGGTTCAAATTCACCCTCATTGGGAAGTTCCAATCGGGACATTGCAAAATGAAAATTGTTCGAAAGGCTTTTGAAGATCTCAAACTATTGGGACTCTGGAAGGTTGGACTCTTTGATTGAAGACATGTGATGATCCAATTATCTAAAGTGGAAGACTATGACAAAATATTTTTCAAAAAGTTTATGAGAATAGAGGGAAAATATATGAAACTGCTCAAGTGGTCTCCTGAATTTGACCCTAGTCAAGAACCACCTATAGTTCCAATCTGGTTTAAACTACCCGGCTTAAAGTTTCATTACTTCAACCATCAAGTACTTTACTCTATTGGAGCTGCACTAGGGAGACCAATGAAATTGGACACACCCACCTTCAATCTAACCAGGCCTTCGGTTACAAGAATTCTTGTTGAAAGGGATATCACCCTCCTTGATATGGACGAAATATGGCTTGGCACTGCCGACAATGGGCACAATGAGTATTGGCAGCCAATTATAGCAGAACAAAGACCCTGCTATTGTAATTACTGTAAACTGTTTGGGCACACCCCTGCCAAATGCTTCAGGCTTCACCCACATCTGAGATCGGCAGGTCCTAACAACACCATCTATGTGGAGGAAAATATAGCAGACACTGTTAATCTTCCAGAAATGTTGAATGAGAATTTGACTCATAAGACCACTCTCACCAACCAGACCAGCAACTTCTGTCTACTGTTGTTGCGGCAGCTTTTCATCAGATTATAAATTCTACGAATTGTGTTGTAGCAGATGCTAGCTGAAGTGTCTTAGTCCCACCTATTGCGAGAGAAGAGGGTACTCATGTTACGGAGGAGTGTCAAGATCAATGTGTGTTGTAGGCTGAGTCAGATCAACAGTTTACCTCCATCGAAGATCCGCCTATTGTTCACACGAGACTTCCTCTGACAGATGATTGACAGGTTTGCAAATCCAGGAAGAAGAAGAAAGAAATGCAAGATCTCAATAACTCTCAAGATGACTGTATTATTGTTTCGGGAGGAAGCCCATATCCCAGTATGTTGTCGGACTCTCTCCCTAGATCTAGGGAAAGGGGAAGCGGTAGATCCACCGACTACACCCACTATGATTAGGAGTTGTTTATTTTTGTTTTACTTTTTTTGGGAATACGTTTCCCTTACTCTTCGTTTAATGGAAGAGAATGGGCCAACAATGAGAGAAAGAGAGGGGGCCAATTTGGATTCATATGCATTGTATTGAAATTGCATGAGTTCTGGTTTTTCAAATTATTAAAAATGCTACTTTTCTTTTGTTTTTCTTCCTATTGAACATTAGAAATGTTAAATAATATCAAGAGAAATATATTAAATCAATTCTACTTGCAGCAACATAACTCTTTTTTTTTTTTCTGTTTTCTTTTATCATGCTCTTAATTATTAACACATGTATTTTTATAAAATCTAATGAACAGAGTTCAAAGAGCAGGAGAAAAAGAAGAGGAAGCAGTGTATTTTCTGCTGAAAAGCAGAGATTCAACTTAAGGTACCCACATTCGAGATGTGTATTTTGCAAATTTTTGATGTGTTTCTGATTATGAATGCATACATACCTACGTTTCAGTGTAATTCCTGAAGTTGTGTTTTTATGTGTTAGTTGATTGGTATTAGCTAAACATTGAACATTTGTGTAAATTGCATTTCTTATGCTGCTAAGTGCTTGTTTTGTTAATCTTTTGGGGCAATTATATTCATAGTACTTGAAAAATTGCTATTTACAAATCTAACACCCTTTTTCATTCATTTTTAAAATTCTCATTGTTTTCTAAATAGATAAGATTTGAGTGCAATGTATTTAATTACTTCTTTTAATATAACCTTATTTTTTTGCCCTTTTACAATATAAACTCATTGTTTATTTCATTTTTTGGCCCAAAATTTCATTGATTATATTTGATGATTTTTACATTTTTCCCACTTACTGACAAGGCTTCGATGGATAAAGCTTGTCATGTCATCTATAACATCTTGTGTTGACAGTTTAATGGTAATATTCCTCCAATAATTTGAACTGTGAACTTTTATTTGATAAAAAGGGAAAGGGAAATTTACATACATAGCACACAATTCTTTTGTATTTACATATATCACACCTAAACATCACACCTAAACTTCCATATTCTAAACTTCCATATTTATATGCAGAGTAGTTTGGTGCTTTAAACCTATGCATGAAAAGGTGTATTTAACTTTTAAAGAGTAATAATAGTGCTATCTTTGAGTTGATATTAAATATTTGAGTGCTATGTGTGTAAATATGAAAGTTTAAGTGTGAGATATGTAAATACATAAGAATTGTGAGATATGTAAATACATAAGAATTGTGTGCTAAGTATGTAAAAGGCCCTGAAAGGAAAACATAAAAAAAATTGAAAGAATGAAATTGGAATCCTTTCCTTATACTCTTACTTTCAGTGCTCATAATATTGGTTGATTGGACGGAAGATTTCTTACTTCTCACGGCATTCGTTTTCTTCTTGTATTTTTTTCACAAAATTGGTAGAATATGGCAGAGCACTTTTCTTGGGGAAATTTACATACATACCACACAATTCTTTGTATTTATATATCTAACACCTAAACTTCTATATCTGCATTTATAACACTGTTGTCATAAATCTATGCATGAAAATGTGTATTTCACTGTAAAAAGCAATGGTGGTATTTTTGATGTGATATTAATGAATGATTTGAGTGCTACGCAGGTACATAGGAAAGTTTCAAGTGTTAAATATATAAGTACATAAGAATTGTCCGGTATGTATGTCAATGGCGCCTTTTCTTATTTTTAATGTCATTTTGCTGCTTTTGCTATTTTGTATTTCAATGAATTCTGTTATGGAATCACCAGATAAGTGCTCTCTTGTGGGAAGGATTCTACAATAAGACTATGGGACGTAGGAACTGGAAGGCTTGTAAAGCGGCATTTGGGAGCAGTTCACAGTAATTTACGCTGCCAGGTATGCTAAGTTCCAGTTCCTTGATTATTTTCTTTCTACTGAATCGACAAAGATGGCATGTTCTACCATTTATTTTTCAGGGAAATTTACATACCACACCATTCTTATGATTGAAATATCTAACACCTAAAGTTTGATATTTAGATTTATAACACTTTGATGTTATAAATCTATGCATGAAAAGGTGTATTTCACTTCTAAAAAGTTAGTTATGGTATTTGATGTGATGCTAAGGTGCTCATGTAAATTTCAGTTTAGGTGTTACATATGTAAATATATAAGAATTGTCCAGTATTTATGTTAATGTCCCTATTTGGTAAAAGAACCTGCTATCTATGCATAAAAAGGTGTATGTATGCTAATATTTACTGATTCATGTGCTAGTCATGCAACAACAGGTATAGCACGCATCGTTTTTTTGGGGTGTATACATACATACCACCCAATTCTTACGTATTTACACATCTAGCACCTGAACTTGTAACATTTATGCCACCCAATTCTTTCACATTACATTAAAAAAAACCACCATTTTAACTTTTAAAATATGAAATACACTTTTTTTATGCACAGGTAAGATGGATTATATGTAAAAATTGAAGTATAGGTGTTACATATGTAAATACATGTAATTAAGTGGAGTGTATGTAAATGGGCTTAATGCCTTAAGCATTTATGGAGTTGGGAGTACATTGCTTTTGTGTGCCTGGAGAGAGAGAGAGAGAGAGAGCCTAAGTAATGCTTTGTCAAAACATTTAATTCATCCAGCTAGCATTTCTAATGCGTATGGTTGCTTAAATTAAAATATTCACTACTGTAATCAGATCTGTAAGATCATGCTGAGATTATGTTGCTGTAATTGAATGGTCACCTCCAATATTTGCAGCATTGATTTCTCTCAAAATTTGGACCTTTAAGTTATTACATTAGATCAAATGATTACTTGATCTTTTCTTATCAAGAAATTGAAGATGGATGCTAGTATTGTTTTATGCGGAGGAGTGGAGTGATGATATAAGTTTATTGTGTCATTGATTCCCCTTTTTCATACAATAATATTTTGCACTTCATTTTAATTGCTTGGAATCTGTATTCTGTCCAAGCATTTCATTATCTATTCACATCAGGTTTATCTGAATCATTCATGAATTTGGAACTGATGTAATGGATGATATTTCATGATTAGCTCGCCAGGTGCTTAGAACACTGATTAATAGTGTCTTGATTTTGTTTTCCCTGCCTACGCAGTTCTTAAAATAAAAAAATAAATTGTATTTTTTTATAAATAAAATTTATAAAAAAATACAAACAGTTGTGAACAAGTTAGAAGCTACTCAAAATGATTATAGAACAATTCAACTAGAAATACTGGCAGACAACCATTCTGTTCTTACTACAGTTATAGAGAGTGGGATCAAATTTCAACTTGCTTTCGCCAAAGCGTATGTTCGTAGCACCTACTTTCCATCATTGGGTTGTTGAGTGCTATTTTTTATCCATCTTCTTTCTGACATCGTTAATTTAGGCTTGGAAAGCAGCCGCATAAAGAATTCATTGATCACGACAAGGATGGTGAGAGAATTGAATTTCTTCCCCCAAGTAATTAATTTCAGATTTTTTTTTTTTTGGGAGATTTAATTGATATACATTCTTTTTTTTTTACTTTGGATAATTTCGATGACAACACTTGATATGAAAAAAAAAAATGCAGCATCTTCATCTGGGATTATGAATAGAGCCATGAATGAGTGAGTTGCTTCTTAAAATTTTTCTTGAATTGTTTTTTTCAATACATATGATAATTTTTCAGCTATTCATCTTCCTTTTTTACTAATTAGAATTGATTATATATATATTTTTTTGGAATTCAACTTCATTTTTTTGCATGAAGGATAACATGGTGGCAGGATTAGAAAGAAGATAAGAGAAATCTCTGTTTGGATTTATGGGATTTGGAGATGTTAAAGGGTTGGAAAGCGGGTGGCAGGATATAGAAGAATGACGAGGGTTACCTTCCTCAATGATTTTTGGGTTGGACAATAGTGGAAAAAGCAAGATGTGAGCTTTAGAGGTCTTTTTATGTCGAGACTATGTTGTTACCCACCCAGTTAGTTGTATGGTGATATATTTTTAGTTTAATTTTTCTGTATACGGTTTATGACTTATCAGACCTATTTTTTTTGCATGATTTTTAATTTTCTTATGATTACAATTGTCAATGAGATACATTTATGAATTATGTGAATTGAATATTATTTAAGGACAAATGATGAAATTTTGCTTGATATGAAAAATGTTAAATGAGCAAAGTATTCTAGGCATAGTTAGTTATTGTCTGCTTGTCATATTTTGGTGTTTTGATTGTATTTAGTTGTTGAACTGATATTCTTTTTTTTTTTTTGTAGGCGATGTATGTAAATTTTTTGTTCTTTAATATCTACGGTGGTGGTTTTAACTGTTGCAAGAATTGACATAGTGCTACCTTAGCTTTTTGTTACGGCGGCAGTTTTTAAATGTCTATTGTGGCGGTTTAAATCGTTGCAAGTAGTCCAGATGTGTGGCGGTTAAAACCACCGTAGTAGCATGAAGCTATGACATTGTCGTATCTTCAAACTATGACGACGGTTTTTAGAACTGCTGCTGTAAGGCTTTGTGGCCCTGAGTATCGGCAGCTAGAATTTTTGAAGCAGTTAAAACTACTGCTATATGTCACAGACAAATAGTCCCACATCGACTAGGTGTAGGGTCGAAAAACAGTATTTAAGTCTTGGGCTGTTTACTTCTCTTAAGGGCTCTTTTGGGAGATGACAAGTGGTATCAGAGCAGATTACTGTCAGCAAGATGTGTGGACTCTCCATTGTCTAGTGGGACCCTCGGTGGAGCCGATCCGTGGCGAGGGCTTCACGTGATTGAGTGGAGGAGAATGTCGCAGACAAATAGTCTCACATCGACTAGATGTATGGCCAAAAAACAGTATTTAAGTCTTGTGTTGCCCGCCACACTTAAGGGCTCTTTCGAGAGGTGACATATAACTTCCTTTTGACACCAAATTTTATTGTCCGGTCACCGGATGTGCGGACAACGGGCGAGTGCTTCTCGTCCGTTGTCCGCCCTTCCGGTGACCGGACAGGAAAAACGCTCCCTTTTTACGTCGCCGAAGCCTATTATTTTTTGTAGTATATATTTATAGAGAGGGAGAGAGAGAAGACGAGAGAAAGTAAGAGATCTACATAGATGGATTTGATTCACTAAAGTTATTCATCATGTGTCATGTACGTACTGAAAATTGCTTTCAAGTCTGTCTCTAGGGTGTGAAGGACCACTATATTTTATTCCTGCAGCACTAAAGAAAATGAAGGGAAATTAAAGACAAGTTCTTAATTATGCTGCATATCTCTTATTTGGAGAAAAGGATATGTAATTTGTACATTTATATATCCGATTTTTAAATCTTAATTTTTTTTTTATAAAATATTTTAATATTTAAAGTAGATCAAAACATCTGCATAAAAATAATTTACTTTAAATAAGTTAATATATGTATTAATATATTATTTTGATCATAATTTAAAAATTAATGTCAACTTCTAGTGGCAATAGAGTTGCACTAGAAAGGGTGGTATAAAAAATATTATTATTCGTGAAGTGATAAGCTCGTTAATTAGTTTGTGTTTGATTCGTTCATTAAATAAATAATTTGAATATTAATAATTTTTTTAACTTAATTTATAAACGAGTATTCGAAGATGACTTTGTTTAATCGTGTTTTGAGCTGTTTTGGCTCGAAATAAATAAATAAATAATATTTATTATAAATTTTTTTATATATTTT